GGGCATTCACGATCTGGGCAAGATACGCTGGGACATGGCCCTGTGTCTGCTCATCGTCTATCTGATTTGCTACTTTTCCCTCTGGAAGGGCATCAGCACCTCGGGCAAGGTGGTCTGGTTCACGGCGCTGTTTCCGTATGTGGTGCTATTGATACTACTGATACGCGGCATCACCTTGCCGGGCTCTGCCATGGGCATTCAGTACTATCTGAGCCCCAACTTTGATGCCATCTACAAGGCGGAGGTGTGGGTCGATGCTGCCACCCAGGTGTTCTTCTCCTTGGGTCCGGGATTCGGTGTGCTGCTCGCCTATGCGTCCTATAATAAATACCACAATAATGTGTACAAGTAAGTTCTGCGCTTCGTCCTCTCCTCCTCCTCTCTCTCTCTCTCTCATTTCTCATGGTATCTTCGTCTGCCTCAGGGATGCGTTGCTCACGAGCTTCATCAACTCTGCAACGAGCTTCGTTGCCGGCTTCGTGATATTCTCCGTGCTGGGCTACATGGCGCACACGTCGGGCGTGCGAATCGAGGATGTGGCCACGGAGGGACCAGGCCTGGTCTTTGTCGTCTATCCGGCTGCAATTGCCACCATGCCGGGCAGCATCTTCTGGGCGCTCATCTTCTTCATGATGCTGCTCACGCTGGGACTGGACAGCTCGGTGAGTGCTCAGCTTCTATCAAAGATCAGACAGAGAAGTTCTGACCAAGTTTTCTCCCTCGCCAACAGTTTGGCGGCTCGGAGGCCATTATCACCGCCTTGAGTGATGAGTTTCCCAAGATCAGGAAGAACCGGGAGCTCTTTGTGGCCGCACTGTTCTCGCTGTACTTTGTGGTGGGCCTGGCCAGCTGCACCCAGGGCGGCTTCTATTTCTTCCATTTGCTGGATCGCTATGCCGCCGGCTATTCCATACTCGTGGCGGTGTTCTTCGAGGCGATTGCCGTCTCCTGGATCTATGGCACGAAGCGCTTCAGCGATGACATACGCGACATGATCGGCTTTCCGCCGGGCAGGTACTGGCAGGTGTGCTGGCGCTTTGTGGCGCCCATTTTTCTGCTCTTCATAACGGTGTACGGCCTGCTGGGCTACGAGCCGCTGACCTACGGCGACTACGTCTACCCGGACTGGGCCAATGCACTGGGCTGGAGCATAGCCGGCTCCTCGGTCACAATGATACCGGCCGTGGCCATCTACAAGCTGATTGTAACACCGGGCAGCTTCAGGCAGCGACTGCGCACCCTCACCACCCCGTGGCGGGATCAGCAGCTGGCGGTGAACGGCGTTGCCACCGAGGTGACGGTCACCCTGGTGCGCCTGGCCGACACCGAGGCGAACGATGCGGCCGACGTCTGAGCTCGACCCACGGCACGTTTTCAGATCTACTACGTGTAGAGTACATTTGGAAATTTACCAACAACTTCAAGATTAGTATTAACCCTAGCCAGAATGTGTGTGAATCAATAATGTATGTGTGTTATTGCAGTAGCGGCAGCTAGAATTGATTTAATTTACACTTTCGGCTTAGCTCTTAGGCACTCTAATGCACTAGGAATCTAATGCAAATTTCGCATACAACGTACTTACTTAGGTTTCGACACCAAACAATGTTGTAGCTCAAAACCATAAGCCTACAGTTAAGACTAGCCAGTAGTTTCATAATGCGCTGCACTCACACCACTGTGTGGCGCCAGTAAATACGTATACACATTTACACATACATAAATACATATACACATATATATATTAGGCATACTGTATGATAGTATGTTTGTATATTCACCAAAACGCTGTGTAGATAATACAGAAGAAATATTTAAGATACAAATTGTAGTTGTTCGAATGTATGTATGTATGTAATGGTGTGCACATGCAACAGGGAATTAAAGGTACGATTAGCAGCTCACAGGACCCTTAACTGGATGTCAGAGTTCGTATACACACATAAATAGCTTTATTATATAGTCTGTGTTTGTGTCTGTGTAGCCGAAGCAGGCAGAGCAATCAATAGCTTATGCCACATAATTGAAACAAATATACATAATATATATACACATATATACACACATACAGATATGAGTCCCTGCCAAATAATTTATACGCTTATAGGTCGAGCAAAGTCCTTTTCACACAGCCATAAAAGGATTTCGCTCAACTCCTAGTATTTATAATAAATATACTCAGTTTGTTGTTGCGTTGAGTCGCTCTCTGTTTGACTTCGTCAGCCTCATCTAATCCCTAAGTGTTACCTTTGATAATGTTTACACGAAAAGCAAAGTCGCCAGCCATCGACCTTGCTTTGACTCTTTACCGCTTAAGTTGATCCAGGTGCTTCGCCTTGCATTCCCACGCAGCCATGTGGGAGCGCAATGGGATGCACTCGTACCGCGTTACCAAACTAATTTTACTCTGTTCACTTTAATTAAATAAATATGTATTTTAAGTTGATATTACAAAAAAAAGGCACTGTGTTTTTATTAAAAAAATGGGTGGGTACTAAATTTATTATATTTCTTTTAAAGAGAATAGTCAGAATAAAATGAAATTTATTGCTGTCCAACTTCTTGATTTGATATATGTGGAGCCATAGAACATGGCCTTAAAAGTACTTTTAAACTAGCTAAAATATGTTTATAGCATTTAGCAACAAATATTATAACTAATTGCTCTATTCGCATTTTGTTTGCCCTCATAATTAACAACAGTAATTTATTCACAAGAAAACTGAAAGTAATATTATATGAAAACTGTAAGTAATATTATATTTGTTTTATTTATCTTACTATAATTTTTTTCTGATTTTTGGTTCAGGCTATTCTTTAAGGAATTTGCAATTTAGCACATATGAAGTGGGCATGCATAATACAATTTTCCATTTCTCCATTTGTACAGTAGCTTAACAGTGAGCGGCTGTTAAACTTGTCGATGTTAACTGTCGAAAAGCTTGGCATTTAGATGCACTTTATAAGAGCAGACCAAACATACATTAATCGAACATATTTTGTGCACTATATATAAGGTTGCCTTATCAATATGACCAGCTTCCAAGCTACTGTACTATGCAGTCCTCTCTGCCATCCAGGCTACTCTTCTATGGAGTCTACTCCATACAGTATACTTCTCTATTCAGTTTACGCTGCTATCTAGTCTACTTTGCTAAACAACCTACTGTTCTTTACAATTCTATGGAGCTTACGCATCTATGTAGTGTACTCTACAATGCAGCCTACTTATCTATTCATTTTGTTATGCCATTCTACTCCATTCATTCTACTTCAATCCAGCATACTCTTTAGCTCGAGAGCTCTGGCATATTATTGCTTAATATATTTTTATTAAAATATAAAAAATATACTAAGCAATAATATCTAATATTCATATCAGTCCCATCATCTCTTGCTTATAATTTTCCCTTAATACAGTAAATTTTTATCGAATTTCCCCAAAATCCCCAAGAAATCATTTATTTGCATAATTAAGGGCATTTTTATTAATGTTATTATTATTTCATAATTTATTTACGCTTAATTTCCTTTTACATTTATAAAGTTTTATAATATTTGTTTGTTTCTTTTTCTTCAAATATAAAATTGCAAATCAATTAGAAAATTTAGTATAAATAACAAAATGTTAATGGATTGAACATGAGATTTATCATATAAACGAAATGCGAACGTTATGTAATATGAGAATTAATGATTTGATTTAATTGTTTATTATTTTTTTTTTAGGTAAAGCTAATTGGCTTGAATTTAATGGAAATGCTTCTGGTTGGATAAGCTGCGTAATTTAGTTTAATTTTCTATTTTTCGTGCATTAGATTTGCCAATGGACTTGCATTCGTAGCAATTAAGTGTGCATCTGATAATACTTATGTGTTGGGTGTGTGTGTGTGTATGTGTGAGTTATGTATGTGCGTATGCTATGTGTGTATGTCATGTCAATGTATGTATGTATATGGTATACAATATATTCCAGGTATAATTTTGTATTTATTGAGTATTTATTTGGAATTTTTCTTATGCCCTTGCAGAGTATTTGGTATTTTTGGTATTTAATTTAATCACACATTTATAAAAATTTACATGAAATACTTCATATAAATCAGAATAAAATGTAAAAGAAATCTAAATACAACACCTCTGCAAGGGCATTTAACATTCGGTATGCCGAACATTAATTTCAGCTTTTTAAAAATATTTTGCATTTATTTTCTGCATTAAACGGCAAATCATTTAATCTCAGGACAATTATTTATTAATAAATTTATTTATGTTTGCTTTTGTGCATTTTGTATTAATTATTTATTTGTAGTGCATTTTACGTATTTTTGGTCTGTTTTAGGTGCCTTGAGGGGGGAAATTAGGTACACATTCCACAGGAGTGAATAACGAACGAACGAGAATTTTAGCTTCTTCTCCATGTATGTATATTTTTGTATACATACATATATGTTATAGAAACTATGAATTGGAAATGCCTGAATGTGCTCGATATACATGTATGTATGTATATATTAATGTATATATATATTTTATTTGTAACATGGTATACTGTAGTATATTTTGTGTTCAGTTTATTTGTTTTTCCTTGTAAATATGCTTGAAGCTTGCTATAATATCTGATCGTTCAGTTGGCGTTTATACATTAGCATTTTTGGTTTTCGTGGGTTTTTACTTATTTCTTGGTTGTAAATTTGCCATCTACTTAAAGGTTTGTTGCTTGTTTAACTGCGTGTTAATTGATTATTCAAATACCAATGCGAAATTATAGTTGCTTAACACGGACTATTTTTACTGTGACTCAACTAAAAAAGGCAGCAAAGGACGGACAATTATGTTGGATCTTAAAGATGAACTGGGTGTATGCCACAGGGCGATACCCTATGAAGGCGTATATCTATAGGAAATTTAATAATAAAATTGAAATCATTCAATATGGAGCGATTTTTGCCTATATATGAATCAATTTTATGCCATATAGCTGTATCAAATTTTAATGGGCATAGATCTTCCTTTCCTAGGGTATAACTTCACTCGACACTCCCGTTCATCTCTAAGAGCACAAAGTATATATAATCTACGCACTGGTATAATACGCCTCGGCAAGCCGAAGTTACTCGGTTTGGATCAGTTTATGCTATGAGTACTCTAATCTGTGTAATCCTTTAATAATCTGTCACATTGAGAGCTTTGTTCTGGTTCGCTATGAATCTAACTGTGTGCGCATGTGTGTGTGCACAGCTACGTGGGCTTGATAATTGATATTGTTGATATGATTGCGTTGTATGAGTTCAAGTACGAATATATATAATATAATATATATATATATATGATTATACTATATCTAATGTAAGTAAGCTGCTGTCTGCTGTCTGAGTACATTTTGTGCTGGGCTAAGTATTTTCGTAAAACTGATTTGTGTACAGTAAATCAACCATTTGTTCCACTCGAAAAGCTTAATTCATATAATAGCAACAAATTTTGCTGTTGTTCTGCGTGTACAGTGATCGCTCGCTTGAAAGACACATTTGAATTGACATGACATATGCTGATGAGTCGTCATACTATATACTCGAGCACGAGTCTATATATATTTACAATCGAATTACTTAAATATATGTATGTATGTATATAATGAGTATTATGTGAGCTTGACTATATGTATAATTGTATGTATATTTGACTCGATTAAAATATCTATTAAAATGTGAATCGCGAATTTCGGTGGCTGTTATTCATGTCGATTAAAATTAAATGAAATTTGAACTTTTCTTTTTCGTTTGTGTTTTGTTATGCTTATGAGATACTGAACAACATAAAAATATAATCAAATGATTTGATTCGTTTAAAAAGCGCAACATTTATTGAATAATTATCTAGCTCTAACAATAGCATTTTCATTAAAATTGAAAATTATATTTTCACTATAATGCACATCGTTTTCATTCATTTAAAATGTTTTAGTTGACCAAAAATGAGATTTACTCAATTCGATTTCGAGTTCGATTTTAAATGATTTTTTTTTTTTTGTGAATTAGTTTTTAGCTGAAGCCTAAGTTTGTTAAATCAAATAACGTATCTAAATGTAATTTCTAATTGTTCAATATATATATATAATGTATTCAATCATATTGACAACTTTAACTGATTATAGGAAAGAAGCCTAGAGCACGCTTAAATTTACATGTGTTGCACCAAGAGATTTCACATTAAGTTTATCATTTCGTTTCGTTCTACAATTTCATTTAATAATTTATTATGTGTGTGTGTGTGTGTGTTTATATTTAAGTAACTATGTATCAATATATCAAATCTAACTCAATATTTAAGCTAATTTAACTAATTCCACTTACATTCGCATACAAGATATATATAGTTATATATATATATATACTTACAACTGTATAATTATAGCTTGCATACATTATATATTCCCGTTATTTACCTATGTTCTCATATAATTGATGTGTATTTTTGAAATACGACTTTCAGTTTAGCTTAGCCTAAACAAAGATTACTTTTGATTCTGCCAATGAGTGGTTGTGTGTGTGTGTGTGCGGGAGGTCTCTAGCCAAGCTTAGGTCTGCTGTATGGAGCTGAGGAATGCCGGATCCACAGATGCCACCTTGGCGGTGAGAAATGCGTGCATGCAAAAGAGCAAGCTCTGCAGTACCTGGCACTCTAGTTCCTAATGGCGATAATATGGCAAAGAATGAGATTGAGATTATAAACATAGATATAAGGAAAAGCTCTACAATGAATTGGATTTGGCCAATTGAAGCGCTGCATTCATTTATAGCACTTGCCTTCGTTTCGATGGCCCGCGTCTCGTTGTCCTGGAAATGTAGCTTCAACTTTGATTTGCCATCGTCGCTGGAGCCGCGCAGCTGCGAAAACTTGTACTGCCACACCATGGTGGCATCGGCGCCCTCTGTCAGTGAGAAGCCCGCCTGCCAGTCAAGTGTCAGTCCGCCGCTCTTGCCGTGATGGGAAACGGCAAAAGTCTTGCGCTGCAGGTATGAGTGATAGATATAGTATATAGAAATAAATGTGAGATGTATTTATTAACAGTGTGTGGTTAGGTGAGGGAGGGAGAGAGGCAGAGAGAGAGAGAGTGACATTCCGACAGCTGCTTAGATTGAGTCTTCTAATAATATTAAGCATACGCCCCATCTCACACACTCTCTCTCTGTATGTGTGTGTGTGCTGACGCACTCCTAAGACCCATAATAGCCTCTGGCTATATCTGTAATAGCCAAGGCAAAACAACGGCATACATAGGTTCAATAATCCCTTTATGTCCTGTCTGTGTGCTCGACTAAACGCTCAAAATTGCGAACCAAATTCGTATCGATTCGGACGTTGGCCAAAATCTACTTTTTTTTTTGTCGCCCCCTTTTCTTTTTTTTGTTTTGTTTTCAACTTTGTGCGTCGCTTATGTCGGTCATTGGCTTTGCGCTGACTTTTCGTAAAGCTAACAAGTGTTGTGTAGACACACACACAGGCAGAGCTGAGCGTGTGTGTGTGTGTGCTCGGGCAAAGTTACATTAAACAAAATATCACAAAACTTTTTGGCAAATGTTTGTTTGGGAGCGCACAGAAATTTGTTTTGTTCATTCCTTGGAAAATCAATACGACATCCTTTATAATTTGTGCTTAGCAAAAAGCAATTAAAAAGCATTCATTATGAATGAGTATTTTTATGCTTGTAATTAAGAAAACTACCCGGCGTGGCCTCACTCAAAAGTCACAAGCTAAAATGCTAAGGGATAGCGTTAATTAATTATTAATTATGGCAAGGCTGGAGGAATTGAATATAATGAAATAAGAATATTATATAAATTAAAAAAAAAAAGAAAATATAATGTATATAATAGAAAAAAATTTAATTTTAATATATTTTAAAGAATATAAAATAAACTAAAAATAATATTAATAAAATTTAATATATACAATAGAATAATAAAAAAGAATATAAAATTAACCAAAAATAATAAGAAATTAAATATATATATTAGAATAAAAATTAATATAAAATTATAATAAATAAGAAGATAAAATTAACCAAAAATAATAAGAAATCTAATATATATATTAGAATAAAAAATAAAAAAAAATTATAATAAATAAAAATATAAAATGAACTAAAAGTAATAATGAAATATAGTTTTTATAATAAAATAAAAAATAAAATAAAATTATATTTAAATAAGAATATAAAATTGACTAATAATAATAATAAAATATAATATATATAATTGAATAATAATTAAAATAATATTATATTAAAAATTATATAAAAATTATATAAAAACAAATTAATACATTAGTAAAACTAAATATTGTAATAGAATAATAAATAAAATAATATTATATTAAATATATAAACAAAGGAATATATTAATATAGTCAACTAGTCGATTTGATTCCCATATAAAACTTTGACGTTTCAATGCTCGCACAAGTCCTTCCACATGTCTGTCTGTATTGATTATCCTTTGCCCTGACCTTTAGTTCAAGGCTGATCGGGGGAGGCAAGTGCATAAATTAACAAGCAATCGGCAATCACGATAATCGCCCGTTTGCATTGTGCCTAGCCCGGCCTAGCCAGGCTAATTACAAATAAACATGCGAAATTATCAACAAGGAACGAATCCGAACTGTTTATATACACCAGGCACACATATAGAGCTCCATTAATGGAGGTCATGGGGACAGTCATGTGCATGCATATATGTATGCATGTATGTGTGACTGACTGTCTGCGTGTGCATTTACTTACCCCTAATTTAATAACACTGGTCACTATGGCCGCATTCCAGCTGTTCTCGATGCGCAGCAGCTCCTGGCGCGTCTCGACGCTCAGATAGCGCGGCTCGTGTCCGGAGCTCTGCAGGAGGAAGCAATGCTGTCGACTGTCCACCGTCTCCGACTCCTTGACGATGCGAAACATGGTCTGATAGACCTTATAGACGACCAGAGCCTTGCTAATGCCAGCCACATTCAACTGCAAATGAGGCGAACACAAACGAAATCAGTTATGGCAAATTGTCTATGCCCGAGATTTGTTAGCCCGATTCGGCAGCTTTGAGCCACGTAATATAATTTTAAAGCGCATTAAGTGCTCATATCTCTGCTGGTAATCAGCACGGGCGAAAATGCCGTCACCAGGAGCAGAGGGCGCCAGCACGAGCATCGCGTATGCCGTGGGCCAACATTTCTATGGAGCTTGCATTTGCAGCGAGTGCAAAGGCTGCTCATTAGAGCAAACGTACAATTTGTATGCACGTGTGCAGTGCTTTGTGTGAGTGAGTGTGTGTGTGAGTGTGAGTGTGTAGGTACTCTATGTGGGGGACTTCCAACTTGACACATAAAATTAGCGCAGCATAGAGCAGCGCACAGTTGCTTTGAAGAACTTTGGGCAAATGAACACGGAACAAAGCTGACTGCAAATGCTTCCATATCCAATTACATACGACTTTACAAAAGAGATGACAATTTCCACTAAACAAGTGAATAAATCTCACATAAGTTAATCAAAAGAGATGCGAGTGCTAAATAAATAAATATAATAATAGTTCTCAAATGAATTCCTTAGAAATTGTTTACAAATTGAATGTAGCCTATACAAATAATGATTATATATAAATAAAAATATATAATTATTATATTATTTGATTTTTATATTATTTAATATATATAGAGCATTATGTAAGCTTCAATTGCAGAAATTTTTTTCTCCTCAGCTAGCTCTATATTTATTCGTATAGTAATTTTTTCTTTAACAAGATCAAGTGTTCCAACAACAACAAAAAATTGCTGATAATATCTATAAATAAATTTGGATGCTGATAACAATTTTTACAAATTTTCTATTTAAAAAAAAATTTTTTTAAAATGTATATATATATATATATATATATATATATAATATATATATAAGCAGAACTCAATTTCGTTTTATTTGAAGAGTAATAAAACGGAGTCTATTATTAAACAAAATTGCAGCTCTAAGACATGAATATTATAGAAAATAGCAACAAATATTTCTGAATGACTTCAGGGTATTTTATATTCGCCTACTCGCATCTAGAGTTTTCCTAATAGTTTTCTCTGCAACCGCAAATGTAATCGATAGTTTCTCTGCATTCTACTTACTGGAGGCGTTTCGAACAGCATTACTTCGGTGCCTTTGAGCAATAGAAATCGTGGCTTATAGCTCTGCCATGATATATTGTTATTGATAACGCCCTCGTTGACCCAGCCCATGTACTCGATGCGCTCGCCCACAGCAAAGTTGCGATTGTAGAGCTTCATCTGGCAAGTTGATGAATTTGAATATGCATTCAGTCAGTTTCTGGTGGTAGTGCTGTGCCGTATTACCTGCAGATGTGTTAGGCCCACCACATTGTCCGTTATCAGCTTGAGCCACTGGCTAAGTATCGCCAGCTCATCACAGTGTATGACCCCGGTGGTGACGCCGTTCAGGCCGCGCACCTCGAAGGCGTTGGGGCGCAGCTTGTCCGTGCCGTAGATGTAGCGCGTGACATAGGCCATCATTAGGGGCACTAGAAATAGCCACAG